GACCGCAAAAATCACTTTAAGAAGCGAGTGCTGCGGTAGTCAACGGGTGGCAGCCGTAACAATCGTAAGCCAGGACGGAGACACCGGCACTCCAAAATGATAAGCAAACGTCTATTTATTGACATGCAGCATAGCAAGTATAGCGACGCACGTTTCGGGGGTCGCAGAGGATCCCCTTCCTCAGGCAAAGGCAGCCAACACAGCCGCGGCTCGGCAGGGAGCGGCACAGGCTACAGCTTCTCCTCGGATCCCCGCTGCTCTCCACCACCTGTATGGGCAGAGGACTCTGTGTCTCCAATCTCTTTTTCTATTGCCAAAGGGAAATGCCAGGGGTCTGGTTAGACCCCCGATATTTCCCCGAAGCCCCCCAACAGAGGTTGGGATAGTGGAGCGCCTGGCTCCGAGATGATAGCAATGAAGATCACCAGCACTAGAATAACGTCACCTGCGTCATACAGCCAAGGGACCCCGCGCGGTTCCGAGACGTTGGCTGTACGACGCAGGTGACGTTATTCTGCAATAAAAATAACTTTTTGGATCGATTGCATTAAGGAGCGCTGGTGATCTTCATTGCTATCATCTCTGGATCTGCGCGGCGCCATCCGTGGACATCACTGCGAGCATGACACTTGTTCATCAAACGTCTTGATTGCTGTATGGTGTGCTGGGGACATTTCTGTTGATTGGCTCCAACATGGGTGTGTTCCAGTCCAAAAAGATAGTTTTATAATCGACGCAGCTCTCCGGTGCCTGGAAGAGCTTTGGTGGGGGCCCACTGGCTGGTGAACAGAGATAGTGATGACTGGAGGAACAAGAACTATGAAGAATGTGTATTGGCTATTGGCCAAGCCAATGGTTTTCTTTGTTCTTCAAATGTTGGAACCGTCAAATCTGTACTGGACTTTATGTGGAGTCCTCAGCGCTTCTTTATGGTTTTTGGCCACAGGTCAATAATTTTGGTTTGGAGGATAGGGTGGTGAAGCACTGGCCTCCAAGCTGGGTGAACGTTCCAATCCAGTGGGACGGCTTTGCAATAAGTCCGCTCTCTGATGCCTGGAAGAACCTTGATGTGGCTCATGGAATGGCCGGATTGTGAATAGGGAAGGTAATGACCGGAGGAACAAAAGCCATGAAGAGTCTGTATTGGCTATTTGCCAAAGCGAGAGGTTTTCAATGTTCTTTGAATGTTCTTAACTATATGTTGTGTTGGTCAAGTCTGTATTGGCCTTGATGTGGTCCTCCTTGCTGCTTCCTCATTGTTCTTGGCCATATCTCATGGTTCTTGGCCATATCTCATGGTTCTTGGCCATATCTCAAGACCATATCTCATGGTTCTTGGCCATATCTCAAGACCATATCTCATGGTTCTTGGCCATATCTCAAGACCTTGAGTTGGGAGGTTAGGGTTGTGGATCACTGGAATCCAAGCTGGATGACAGTTCCAATTCAATAGGATAGTTTTGTATTGAGGCAGCTCTCTGGTGCCTGGATGAGCCATGACAGTGCCCACGGGATGTCCAGCTCATGGAAGGAGAAGGTGATGATTGGACAAACAAAATCTACAAAGAGTCTATATTGGCTATTTTGTTCTCTTTACTCTTTGAAAGTTCTTAATTGTATTGGTCTTGATGTGGAGTCCTTGCTGATTCCTCATGGTTCTTGGCCATATGTCAGGACCTTCAGTTCGGAGGTCAGAGTTATGGAGCACTGGACTCCCAACTGGGAAAGCGTTCCAATCCAGTAGAATAGTTTTGTATTGCGGCGGTTCCTTTGCGCCATGAAGAGTGTTGACGGGGCCCACTGGCTTGTTTCAAGGTAATGACGGGAGAAACAAAAGCCCATGAAGACTCTATATTGGCGATTTGGTTTTCTTTGTTCATCCAAAGTTTTTAATTGGATGTTATTATTAGTCAAGTCTGTATTGGTCTTTATGTGGAGTCCTCGCTGCTTCCTTATGGCTCTTGGCCATATGTCAAGGACCTTGAGTTCAGAGGTCAGGGTTATGGAACTCTACACTCCATGTTGGCTGAGAGTTCAAATTCAAAAGCAAACTTTTGTATTGAGGCAGCTCTGTGGTACCCCGGAGCCTCAGCGGGGATTTGTGTTGCTTTGTATTGCCCTCTGTGCATCTATAACCTGGAAGTGTGGCAGCGCACGTGGAAGAGCCACCCAGATAGCGAGGATAACTGGCTACAAACTTGTGGCGGGGTGAAATTGTAATTTTTGTTAACTTGCTGCGCACATTCCCGGCAGGTTGTAGACTCGCAGAACACTCGCAGCAGCACAAGTTCTAAGCGACACTTTTTGAATTTGTAGCAAATTTGCTCGGCAAGTCTACAGCAAGAGTCCTGCGGGTCTTAGCGAGAGCTCTGCAAGCTCGCCGGTCTGGAGACTTGCGATGCAGACTTGCTGTAATTGTGCAACAAAATTGTGAAGTTCGGCAAGTCAGCGATAGTTTAGCGAGTCGTTTTATAACTTGCAGCTCAATTGCTCGCTCTCTGGGCAGTGGCTCAGGTTTCTTTTACATCCCTGCTGTGATATCTACCGCTCGGCCTGCCCCGTTTTCTAACAAACGCCCTCGTGCCCTCCTTACCATCTTCTCTTGAATTGTATTGTGATTGTAATGTCTTCCTTCTATTGTACAGCGCTCCAATGGTGGCACCCGGGTGCGGGCCGCGCCCCACTTGTGACGCCACTGGAGGATTGTACAGGGAGATCACAGCGACTCTGATTTGGATAATAAGGAAAGAGCCGAAAATGCGGAATAATCAGAGAAGATAAAACATGAAATGAGGTCACGACGAAGAACGTTCCGAACGCCAGAGGAAGGAACCGCTGCTGCTGTTATGTGTCCTTCCTGACCATCTCTGACATGTTTCACACCCTGGAGAATCTGTGAAATCTTCCAACAGGTGTGAGGGCCGCAAATTATCATTTGCTGGCGCCATATAAATCCTGTATCATAATAAATAACCGGACAATCCAGTTTTTATTATCAATGTCCGGCCCTTTAATTGCTATGAAGAGTATCTGGAACCGGACACTTCGCACAGCCAATCCCACTTCTGGCTTCGGTGCTGTAAGTACATGGCCTTATCCCCCTTCCTTTGCTTCCCATCAGAAAGCGAGGACCCCCAACCGCTGACGGCGCGCAGCTCCGTGTACAGCGCCATTCCTCTTCTTGCCGGCGACAGAATTTCAGCAGCTGATGCATTTGGCGTCTTTATGTCTTTCCTGCCCCCCCC